TCCTTCCGCAACACAGGAAGTTCCTCAGGTTCGCTTTCGGGGGCGAAGCGTACCAGTATCGGGTTCTTCCGTTTGGCCTAGCACTGTCACCCCGCACGTTCACAAAGTGCGTGGATGCAGCTCTGGCTCCTTTGAGACTCCAGGGCATCCGCGTGCTGAACTATATAGACGACTGGCTCATTCTGGCACAGTCAGAACATCAGGCGGTCCAGCATCGAGATGCTGTGCTAGCTCATATGAAGAAGTTGGGGTTAAGGCTAAATGTAAAGAAAAGCGTGTTAGTTCCACAACAGAACACCACTTTTCTGGGCGTAATATGGGACACAAAGACCATGAGAGCATGTTTGGCGCCCGCCAGGATAAAATCGATCCTGGAAGCCGTGCGCAGGATAAGACTAGGCCAGTCACTCACTGTAGTACAGTTTCAAAGAATTTTGGGTTTGATGGCAGCAGCGTCCAACGTGATTCCTTTTGGCCTGCTGTACATGAGACCCTTACAGTGGTGGCTCAGGACCAGGGGGTTCTCCCCGAGGGGAAATCCTTTTCGCATGATCAAGGTCACGCGGCGATGCCTACGTGCCTTAGTTATGTGGAAAGATCCTTGGTTCTTGTCCCAGGGTCCGGTGCTGGGAGCTCCCTGTCGTCGCTTAACGCTAACGACGGATGCTTCCCTCATCGGTTGGGGGGCGACCATGAGTGGTCACTCAGCTCGGGGTCTGTGGAGCGACCATCATCTTTCCTGGCACATAAACCAGTTGGAGATGATGGCCGTGTTTCTGGCACTCAGACACTTTCTCCCAGACCTCAGGGGCCACCATGTGTTGGTTCGCACGGACAACACAGCGGTGGTCTCCTACATAAATCGTCAGGGGGGTTTGCGATCTCGCCGACTTTGGAAATTGGCACATCGAGTTCTGGTTTGGGCCCAGGGGAAGTTGCTATCAGTTCGAGCACTGTATATTCCGGGTTACATGAACAAGACGGCAGACTCTCTGTCGAGGCAGGGAGTGGTGCCGGGGGAATGGAGACTCCACCCCGAGGTGGTGGAGCTCCTTTGGAGTCGATTCGGGCAAGCTCAGGTGGATCTGTTTGCGTCTCGAGAGACAACGCACTGTCCCCTATATTATTCCCTAACGCATCCAGCCCCTTTGGGGTTGGATGCCATGGTACAGACGTGGCCGAGGTTACGTCTGTATGCCTTTCCCCCCCTGGCATTACTACCAGGAGTTCTGGAGAGAGTACGCCGGGACGGGGTTCGGCTCTTATTGATAGCCCCGTTCTGGCCGGGCCGAGTGTGGCTCTCAGACATTGTGTCTCTCCTCGAAGGTCCTCCATGGGAAATTCCGGTCAGGAGGGACCTTCTCTCCCAGGCGGCAGGGTCGGTGTTACACCCGCGTCCGGAGCTATGGAAACTGTGGGCCTGGCCTCTGAGGGGGATCAGCTCATAGACTCAGGTCTTTCTACTGAGGTAGTGGAGACCATGTTACACTCTAGAGCTCCTTCCACGAGGAGGCTCTATGCCCTAAAATGGAGAGTTTTTGTTGCCTGGTGTACAGGCCAGTCTGTGAATCCAGTTGACTGCCCAGTTGGTTCAGTACTAGATTTTCTCCAAGAAAAGTTTTCTTCGGGGTTGTCTCCCTCCACCTTGAAAGTATACGTGTCAGCTATATCCGTCTATCACGTTCCTATAGAGGGTGCGTCAGTGGGAAGACACCCGTGGGTAACTCGCTTCCTCCGTGGTACTTTGAGGTTAAGGCCTGCGGCACGCTCGAGGTTGCCGACTTGGGATTTGGCCATTGTATTGGAAGGTCTAGCCCTGGCCCCCTTTGAGCCCATTGAAGAGGTTCCAGAGAAGTTTCTCACATTAAAAACTTTGTTTCTTCTTTCTATCTCTTCTCTTAAAAGAATCGGGGATTTACAAGCATTGTCAGTTGCTCCCTCGTGTCTTGAGTTTGCGCCTGGTATGGTGAAAGCGTTCCTGTTTCCGAAGGAAGGTTATGTGCCGAAGGTCCCCACTAATGTGGCGGGTCCAATAATGTTGCAGGCCTTTTCTCCGCCTCCGTTCCAAGACCAGGACCAGGAGAAATTGAACTTACTTTGCCCAGTTAGGGCTTTAGATGCATATGTCCACAGAGCTGCCCTGTGGCGCAAATCTGATCAACTGTTTGTGTGTTTTGGGTCCCCGAGTAAAGGGAAGCCTGCATCCAAGCAGACTTTGAGTAAGTGGATAGTTGAGGCTATATCACTTGCATATGAGTCGGCCGGTCATCCATCACCACTAAAGATCCGAGCCCACTCAACTAGGAGTATGGCTGCTTCTATGGCCCTATTGTCAGGGGTTTCACTTCAGGAGGTATGTGATGCGGCAGGGTGGTCCTCTCCGCACACCTTTGTCAAATTTTATAACCTGGATGTGGCTTCTACTCCGGGTTCTCGGGTGTTTCTAGTATAATGTGCACGACGATTTCACATATACAGGCACTTGAGGATTATGGCGACGTGGGTATTCAGTTCCCGCAGCGCTATACGCAGCGTTGAGTTCCCTTGAAAGGGAACGTCTCAGGTTACGTATGTAACCATGGTTCCCTGAGAGGGAACGAGACGCTGCGTCGCTTTGCCATACTCCCAGCATGCCTGTGACCAACTTGTTCGACCTATCAGAAGCTAGTGTTTGTTCGGTCCAGGGGTGCTTTATAGGTTCCTGGTCAATGACGTCACCCGCCTAGGACGTCCCGTCACGCCATTGGACTGATTTCACGAGTGCTTCATGACGCAATCACGCAGGGGCGTTCCCGCAGCGCTATACGCAGCGTCTCGTTCCCTCTCAGGGAACCATGGTTACATACGTAACCTGAGACGTTTGGTTTAGGGTTAGTTACTTTAATTAATTATGCATAATTTACTGTAATGTATAGTAACGTGTAATACGTCACCTTCAAATAAAGTGTTACCAAAACATCTTCACTTTTTCCATTCCAGGAAATACGTTGCTTTAGCAGAGTTGTGTGTCATGAAACCACATGAAGGTTTCTTTCTGGTATACAAACATATTGATTCAAATCTGATTATACTCAGATGATGTTCGTGGTATTTGTTTTTTCCTATGAAAATAAACCCAACGACCCTTTACTTACAGATAGAGCACACTCACAATCTCACTTGAGCAGAACAAGATTTATTACTCTCAATTCATTCCTATTATACCACATGACTAGCTTGTTATTATTAAAATTCATTTGATGTCTTCAATTCCATTCAATGATGATAATTAAAAAAAAGAAATACAAGTTTCTGTACATGAATTTCCAGTGTGAAGGCTCATTGTGCTGTACTAGCTGAATAGATGACTGTAGTAAAGTCCAACATATCCTGTAGATATTGAGATATACAAGCTTAAAGAGTGTACTTTTACTGTAAATCACAAACAAATATAACACATGTATCATTAGTCAATCAAAATGACATTCTAAATGTTTATGAAAGCACATGTTTTCAGCTGACCTCTGAACTTGCATTATTGGTTTTAATCCTGCTGTCATCTCCTGGAAAATAGTCACAGATTTAGCATAGATTTGTCATTGTAAAGAACACACAGAGGTTAATGTGCAATATTAATGTGCAGATAAGCTAATATCTCTTTAAGACAAGCCAATTGATTTAGCAGCCATTTTATTAACTATTTTCTATGTATGCAAAAAAGGTACAGTATACAAGTACAGCTCCTATCTACTTGATAGGAGATAGGAGACATGAGCTCCTATCTAATGGAGACAGAGCAAAACCTGATGAAAACTGTGTCTGTCAGGCTTATTCAGCTAATAAGCATCCCTATAAACAAAAACAATAGTAAATCTCTCTCTGCCACATTGAGAGTAACATTTTGCCCCTCTATTTTTTTTCTATGGAGCATCTTCTCCTCCTCACACGGTCTCTGAGAACTAGAAGTCCCAGCAGCAGAGTCAGCACAGTGCCAGTGACAGCACACACCACGATGATCACGATCTGTAGATGACTTTCCTGTGTCATGATATCTTCTGCAGAAACATGTGGAGTCAGATAATACACCAACACTGCTCAGCGTCATGACTACACTATTCACTATTTGTATACTAGTACGCTTAAAATATACCATATAATTCTGAGTTAAGGGTGAAAAAATACGGTAAAGTTATGGTTAAAAGATATTACTTTGGTTGGTTACAGTTGGAGTTCCTGATGATGAGGAAAGACTGATTGTTATAGGAGCCAGAGCTCTGAGTGTATCCTCAGTAAAAACTGCACACTGCCAGTGCAGCGGGTCTGTTTCATTGCTGGACAGATTCACTGTGAGTTGTAACTTGTTGTTTTTCTCAGTCATAATTTGCTGTTTTCCCAGCACTCCTCTGTTCCCCTCCATCCTGAGCCAGACCAGCATCACTGAATCAGGTGACTAGAAGCATGACATTCTTGTTTCACAGGAGTATAAATATGAGGAAACACAAAGGCCAAATTCCCATAACCCTATAGAAATGAGTGGGATGAACTAAAGAGAAGAAGCAGCAACATGGATCTGGGAATCTGAAGGATCTGGAGAGGTTCTGTATGGAGGAATGGTCTCTGATCTCTTGTCAGGTGTTCTCCAAACTCACCAGGCATTATAGGAGAAGACTCAGAGCTGTTATCTTGGCAAAAGGAGGTTGCAAAAAGTATTTAATAAAATGGGGCCAATAATTATTATGGCCAACGTATTTTAGAGAAAAGCATTTATTTCATAACATGAAATACACCCCAGTTTCAATTGTTTTACTTCAATGAAAGGTTAGATTTTTTTGTGAAAGATCAAAAGGATAAACAATGTAGATTTATTTTACAGCCATCTTTGATCATATTCACCAGGGGTGCCAATAATTCTGGCCACAACTGTATAAGTATTCAATATTCAACTTACAGTATTCTTAATGTCAAATATTTTAGATCATTATTATTCAGGCATACACCACAGATTTAATATAAAATATACTTACTTGAACTGAGATTAAGCGTGTGAATCCTAACCGTTGCTACTCTTCCATCTTCCATCAATCTACAGTAATATTTGCCCTGATTGTGTTCATCAACGGTGTGTAAGATGATGTAGGCAGAGTTGTTGTACAGTAGAGTGGTGTTGGATGTTTGTTCTCCATCTCTCTCCCACTGCAATGTTGAGGATTCAGACAGGAAAGAGACCTCGCATCGCAAAGACACATCAACGCCACGCAGAACTTTGGAAGAGTATTAGAACCGATTGTGAGAAATGTTGTATATCTTTCTTACATTTATAACTACATTTACTGTTACTTTTAAAATATTTTTGCTATCTACTAACCTTCCTTTTGGGCAGTTTGAATTGGTGGATATTCTGAGTAGAATGAAAATTACTATTACAACAATTACTTATAATAAACCTTGCAAGACAAAACCCACATACTATACATCATCTGAGGACTTTCCATAAATAGAATATGTGTTCTCACCAGTGTTTTCAAAACATTTGAACAAAGATAGGTGTATAGCTACTGTATGCTTTATAAATATATATATTTTTTTGGATTGTCAGGTTGTTGATCACTGACGTTGACACACAGCATGTTTAGCCCTTAATCAGTGTTCAAAAAGGATAACGATTTTAGTGTTTGGGGTCTGATAGCATGCTTGTTCCATGTTGCATTTGTGAAATTTTTCAGATTTATGCCAGTTTAGTTGATTTTAGATTTTTTGCCAATTTCTATAAAAATGCTCTCTGTTGCAGTCACATTCATGTGTGTGTTTGTGTTTGTTTGCGTGTGTATGAGATAGAAAGTTCGTTCCACTTTGTCTTTATGCTCTAGGACCAGTTATTCAGATTTATAATGGATTTACTTTTATTTTTTTTGACAAACAAAATGAAAAAAGGCCATTTTTGTTATTTTCCCATTCATTTTCAATGTGGGGTCATTTTGACCCCAAACACCTTAAATGGTAAAAAAAAAAAAAATGTACACACCTTTAGAACAACCAAATTAAAAGTCCAGTGGGGTCCCCTGGTACCCAAAACACTGATTAAGGGTTAAGTATCTTAATGCTGTCATGTGATGTTCAACTCCAGTAGATTTATGTGCCTGTGAGAGTGTTTGAGTGACATTTCTGGACTAATATTGTTCTTATCTTTTACTTTAGTTCATTTATTTTGAATTAAACCGTTATCTTTAAAGATATTTAATTCGAATTTTATTAATGGAGATTATGAAACCTACAGATTACTGTACTGTATTAGTGTTAATGTTTTAAATAATTTGAACATTATTAAATCATTCCATAATTTATCAATTTCTAATTAGTGTATGTTGTGTAGATTAAAAAGAACACAGCAAAAGAGAGAAGAGTTTAAATATTTTGACATGATATTTTGATGATCAATTGGTTAAAGTGAGACTCACCGATAGCATAGAATCGGGAACAAAATCCAAACATCAATATTAAGATTTTAAAAGGTTTAAGTGGCATGATTCTTCTTTTCAGTGCCTCGGATACAACTATGCACTCTGAAGAGTTTGAAGAAACAACTAGACAGTAAATGTTAATGGGCGGTGCAATATTCCAAAATCTGCCTGTCACAGAAAACAACATGAATTTTAAACAAAATGTTTATGCAGAGAGATACTGTACTATCTAGCACTATTCTTTTTTTTTTTATGAACAAATGTCCTAAAAATCTAACTCATGAGAAAGAAATCATGTTTTTTTTTTTTTTAAAGATCTTCTGTTTGTACATGGTTTAAACAGCTCTAATAAACCCATTTTAGGTTATCTTGAATCAATAGATTAAGGCATGTTTAGAAACCCAAATATTATTTTTAGATTAGTCTGGTTTGCACGATTAGCTAATTTTCAGTTCAGGAAATGGTTTGCGAAACTGAACTAACTTGAGTTTCCTTTTGAGTGAAACTTGATGCTGCGGCAGCCACCAACATGAGACATTTTTAGCTCCCAGATCTGAGAGTGTTAATGCTGACAGACACTATATCAGTTGTCTTCTACTTAAATCACCAGGTTTGCGCTCCCTGTTCAGGCTGATGATGCTGTTGTTATACTCTGGGCTCAAGGCAGACTGCTATCACTTAGAGAAGTTTATACTCCAGGGCATTTGAATGTGGGAGAAGACAATCTGTCGAGGCAGGTGCTGAGGCCCAGGGATTGGAGACTGCACCTGGAGGTTCAGCGGAGAGGAAGTGGATCTGTTCACCACAGAGGAGTCGACCCACTGTTTTCTTTCATACCTCCAGCTACACTAGGACTGGATTCCATGGTACAAACGTGGCCGAGGCTACATTTGTACGCCTTTTCCTCAATCCCTTAGCTCCCGGGAGTTCTGGCCAGAGTCGGGCAAAATGGAGTTCCCTTAGTTGCTAGTTGCTCCTTTTTGGCCAGTTCCAGTGTGGTTCTCGGACCTAGTATCTTTCCTGAAAGTCTCTCTTTGGGAGATTCCGACCACACTCTAAAAATAATGTGTTGGCTAAAAAACAACAACAACAACAACAACAGTTTGCATCAGTTTTATTTTTTATTTTTAGTATGACAACTTCTAATGAAATTATGTTCAACCAACAAACAACATTGAATTAGAGGAACTTAATAATGTGTAGCATGAACATAATTTGTTTTAAGTTGATTACTTGATTAAGTTGTTTCAACTACTGGAACACCTTAATCGTATCTATTTTATTTAAAATACACAGCTATCATAGGCAGCACATGACAAATGTAACTGATTTAGCATGCAAATTGAATGAACAAGTAAGATGTTACTTATAACTGCATTAGCACATTCATTGCTTGTAGTGTAAAACGTGTTTACCTTCATGCACATTATACACTTCATCAAAACACAAAAACTTCAGAAACTCTTTTAAATGTCAAACATAACAGCAATAAACACTAACATGTCTTCCCCTTCACTAAAAACAAATAAAATAACACTTAAAAACATTTATTCTCCTTATCCAATCCTATGCAAAGCATGAACTAGAAATCCACTATCTAATTTCCAAAGTTATTAAGACAATTGCATTGATACAACTTCATTTTGAACAAAAAGAATTTAACGCAGAAATCGGTGTTTAAATTACACACAATATTAAGTAAATGTAATTGTATGAGCCATATTCATTTTGTACTATTTTATGTCATTTTGTCCTGTCAGTCAGTCAGTCAGTCATATTTATTTATAGAGCACATTTAAAAACAACAGCTGTTGGCCAAAGTGCTGTACAAGTGTAAACAGGTATCCATAAAAACAGAAAACAACAGATAAACAATGCACAAAACAATACAATACCACTACAGCGCTTGTGACCATAAGCAGCAGTAAATAAGTGGGTTTTAAGCAACGATTTAAAATCAATGTATGTAGGAGCAGTCTTTATATAAGATGGCAGATTGTTCCAAAGCTGTGGAGCGGCCACTGAAAAGGCACGATCTCCTTTTAATTTTAGACGTGTCCTCGGAACAGTCAGCTGTAGACTACTGGTAGACCTGAGATTTCTAAAAACATTATGGTGGGCTAAAAGGAGATCAGAGATGTATGAAGGACCCAGTCCATGCAATCCCTTATAAACAAACAACAGTGTTTTGAACTCAATACGATGTTTAACTGGAAGCCAATGGAGAGAGAACAATACTGGCGAAATATGTTCTCTTTTCCTTGTTCCTCTTAGCAATCTAGCAGCAGCATTTTGGACCAGTTGAAGACGTGACAGAAGGGACTGTGAGACACCCAAATATAGTACATTGCAGTAGTCTAATCTCGATGAAATAAAAGCATGTATCACAGACTCCATGTCTCTGGGTGATAAAAATGCCTTAATTTTCGCAATATTCTTTAACTGATAAAAGCAACTTCTGACCACACCATTGATCTGTTTATCAAAAGTCAAAGCAGAGTCAAAAATCACACCCAGATTTCGAACATGTGTATGGATATTGCCAGATAAAGGTCCCAATTTACTGGCGACAACCTCTGTAAACTTTGATGAGCCAAAAATCAAGACTTCCGTCTTGGAATCATTTAACTGAAGGAAGTTGGCAGACATCCACTGTTTAATGTCCCTCAAACAATCAAACAAACACTGCAAGCTAGAATCATCCTTTGGATGTAAAGGAACATAACACTGAGTATCATCTGCGTAGCAGTGGTATGATACATTATACTTGGTAAAAATAGTATACAGCGGAAGCATGTATAAGGAAAATAAAACAGGACCCAGGATCGAGCCCTGCGGAACCCCATATGAAACTGGTGCACGAGGTGGTAAATAATTGCCCGTCTCTACTGAGAAGGTTCGATCCTTTAAATATGAAGCAAACCAATTCAAAACACAAACTTGGATTCCAATTTGCTGTAAACGAATTAAAAGAATACCATGATCGAGAGTGTCAAATGCCACGCTAAGATCCAGCAGAATTAAAACAGCACATTTACCAGAGTCGACAATCAGAAATAAGTCATTTAAAACTTTAAGCAGTACAGACTCTGTACTGTGTTGTGATCTGAAACCAGACTGATATTTATCCAAAACACCATTTTCCTGTAAGTAGGAAGAAAGCTGATTAAACACAACCTTCTCCAAAACTTTTGAAAAAAATGTTAATTTAGAGATGGGGCGATAGTTATTCAAAGCTGTTGGATCCAAGTTTGGTTTTTTGAGCAGCGGCTGCACAATGGCATGTTTAAAATAAGATGGAACTATCCCACTGACTAAACTACTATTGATTATTGACAATAGGCTAGGACTAATAGAATCAAGTATATCTGATATAAGACGAGAATAAACAACATCCAGTGAGCAAAAGGTTAACTCCATTTGTCGAAAAATGTGTTGCAAATGACTATGAGACACTGGAGAAAACTCTGATAAATTTGTTAAAATCTGTGACGATGTAGACTGAGGTAGGTCCAAAGAAGAGTCCGAAAAGCATGATCTTATAACATCAATTTTTTGGCAGAAGAACTTAAGGAAGTTTTCACAGGCCGTAGGAGAGGGATCAGGATATAAATTAGAAATCGGATTCAGCACATTATTTATAGAATTAAATCGTATTTTTGGGCTGTGTGCATTTTTAGCGATGAGCTCTGAAAAGTATTTTGCTTTTGCAAACTTAACAACTTTTTGATATTGAATCATACAGTCTCTTACGCATTCATAAGATATTTGTAGTTTGTCCCTCTTCCACTTCCTTTCTGCTTTTCTCCATTTCTGTCTAATAACCCTATAGCATCATTAAACCAAGGGTGAGCACAACTTCTAGTTCTCTTCAATTTAAACGGGGCAACAACGTCCAGTGTGTTTGAACATAACATATTGAACATATTCACTAACTCATCTGGCTTTGCTCCAAGACAGTTTGACTCAATTTCATGAGTTTTTGGGGAACTTATAAAGGCATCCAGGAATTTTTCAGATGTAGATGAGTTAAAAGAACGAGCAAACTGGGCTACCGGCACATAAGGTGGTTCCAGACTAGGAACATCTATATTAAAAGAAATAATCTTATGATCAGACAGGAAAAATTCTTTGATAACTACGTTGCTGACTGAAAAGCCATATGATAAGATCAAATCAAGTGTGTGCCCTTGTTTATGAGTAGGACCAAGAACAGACTGTGTAAGATTAAAAGTGTCAATAGTTTGCAAGAATTCTTTAACCATAGGTTTGGAAGGACAACAAACATGTATATTAAAATCGCCCAGTATCAAAATCCTATCTGCATTTGGCACAACAGAAGATAAAAAAATCGGAAAATTCACTTATAAAATCCTTATTATACTTTCGGGGTCTGTAAACTAATACATAAAATTGAATTACAGCCATCCTTCTTAAATAGCTGTGCCTCAAAACTGGAAAACAGTTCTGTGGCAGATAGACAGCATTTGAATTTCTCTCTATAAATAGTAGCTAGGCCCCCACCACGACCGGCTGACCGTATTGTATTAAAAAATGTAAAGTCTTTAGGACAAACTTCAGTGAGTGGACCAAGTTCACCGGCATTTAGCCACGTCTCAGTCATAAATAAAAAGTCAAGCCCAAGAGATAGAATATGTTCATTAATTGTGAATGTCTTGTTTGAGATCGATCTTACATTTAGTAACGCCATCTTCACTTCATTGCAGTCTGTTTCCTGATGTGTGGTTTGATGGTAGCGTGCTTTAAAATTGTGTTGATGCTGCAGCAACCAGGAATATTCCAATGAACGAAGGTTGCAGAGATTTGCTCCTCTTCTGCAAACGCGTAATCTAGATGACCTCCTTGACGATGGCACTGATCGTAGTTGATCTGGGTAGGCAAAGTCGGGACAGTGCTTAAAGGGTCATGAAACCCTAAACCAAATTTTCTGAGATTTTAACAGAGGTATGTGTGTTGAACAACATTGAAGACAATGTTAGCATCTGTTAGATTTAATAGTAGGGCGAAAATGGTTAAATTTTAGTTTTTTCCAGCTATTTTCGTCTTCCGGGTTTAAAATCTTCATCGCAGGCTGTGAC